AGATAAATACCTATGATGTGCTTCAGAGAATAAGGCTAAACAAATGCCTATCCCCTCATATGTGTATCTTATGTAAGGCAAATGGTGAAACAACTTCCCACCTACTACTATCTTGCTCTTTTGCAAATTATGTTTGGTTGTGCATCTCTTCACTCTTTGGCTGTAGGTGGGACCCTCAACAAGACTTCACTACTCTGTTCAGCTCAACTTTTTTCAGGCAAGCAAAAAAGAGAGGAAGATTGCCATTGAAGACAGCTAGGGCAGCAACAATATGGATACTATGGGAGGAAAGAAATGAAAGGCTGTTAACAATATAGATACTCTGTTCAGCCCAACTTTAGTGAAATCGTTTTTCTGAGTATTGATAAAAAAAAGGAAATGAAAGGCTGTTCAAAGAAAAGGCAAGGGGCATAGAGGATATTATTGAAAGCATAAAGATCAAAATAGAAAACTGGGTAAAAACTTTGGAAGCATTCAAATTGGTGGCAGTGGATGATGTTATCAGAGCTTGGTATGAAGTGGCAAATTCAGCTGCTGTGAAAGACAATGGAGTCTTGGACTGGAAGCCTCCTCAGCCTAACAGACTAAAGTTAAACTTTGACAGAAGCTCTTTAGGAAATTCTGGGCTGTCAGGAATTGGAGGAGTGTTCAGGTATGATGCAGGGAAAGTGCTAACTCTATTTTCAGGATCAATGGGAGTAGGGGCTCGGCAAGAGCAGAAATAACAGCCTTACTTCAAGGTCTGAAACTAGCAAAACAGTGGGGTTTATGAACTTGGAGATAGAAGGTGATTCAAATTTAGTAATTTCCTGGATGGATGACAGCAATCCAGGTGTGTGGAAGTTCAGACATCTAATCAGAGAAATAAAGAGCTTGGCAAAGGACCTTGAGGCAAGCTTCAAGTGGGTTAAGAGAACAGCAAATGGGATGGCTGATACTTTGGAAAAACAAGGGGTACATAGGGATCAACTTTTCTGGGCAGATTTGAGATAATCTTGTAAATTTTGTAAAGCTCTGCTTCTCATATGTATTTAAAAATTGATCTTAATCTGTACTGTATGTCTTCCTCTTATAATTAAATGAAATCCTATTGATTACCAATAAAAAAATGGTTTTGTTATTGTAGAGCCTTGAACCCATTTCCAACCTCTCCAATAATCCTCAACTGAGAAGGGGTAAAAAATGCTCATAGTGTTGACCTAATGAGTGACTTTCACAGTAGGTCTATCAATCAAGGCATTTTTGACCAGCTCTTATATTTGAAGATCCTTTCATTTCTTTCTTCCCAAATGGTCCATAATGTAGCTGCCCTTGTGCTTCTCCATGTGAGCTTTCCTTGCTTCCTAGGTGAGTTAAAAAATGAAGTCCTAAAGAGGTTCTCCACATCCTGAGGAGGAGGCAACCTGCAATAATATATAGCAAAGAAGATATCAAAAAAAAAAAAATATAGAGCAAAGAACTGTTCCAAATTCTGTCCACAAAAGGACAAGAGATTAGTGAACAGAAAGTAATTTCTTTGTTAGCATTACATAGGTAACAAATATGAGAAATACGCACCAACTAGATCTTTTCCTTTGCAGAGTTTTACAAGTATTGATGTTTTGGTGTAGACCTCCCAACAAAAAGCCTTCACTTTCAAGAGTATTTACCCTGAATTTCTGAAGCTGTAAAAAGTCATAACAAGGTTAGAGGGGGGGGGGGGAGCAGAGAAGAAAGAAGCAGAGAGAGAAGAGCAATAAAAGTTTAGTTATCCATTAAAAAAGAGCAGTTTTTCTATATTGGAGAAGGTTCCAGTGCTGCATCCCAAACTTTCTTAACTGTTTGAAGGAACAAAAAGGTCCTACCAACCTGTTGATGCATGGAGAAGTAGAAGGGGACTCCCAATTAATAATCTTATGGACTTGGCAAGTCAATTCTGCTCCTTGGTTCTATAGACATGCTTTCAGGGAAATAGACTCCGTTGCAAGAAGGATCACCTATGCTATTAGATGGATAAAGAGAACACCAAATGGAACGGTAGATGTATTAGCAAAGCAGGGAGTTGAAAGACCAAATCTATTCTGGGCAAAATTGTAATCTGGAGCTGATTGGGTTGATGGTTTCCCAATCAGTTGTAATTTTCTCTGGAGTGTAAATTTACCTTTCCTTTTCTGATAAAAAGCCTGTTGAAGCATGGAGCAAAGTAGCCATGACATAAGCATTGAACTCTCCGACTCCCACTTCTCATAATCTGAAGTGCCCTTTGCCAGTTTTGTCATTTTACATTTGATGTAGCTTTGCTTGTCATGTCCCTAAATAAATGTTGCTGATTGAGACCATTCAAGATAAATTGGTCCCAATCAACTTAACTATCATAATCTACAAAGGAGGTTGCTCTAATGTTGTCATTACTTCAAACATTAGCAAAAGTGGAAGCAATCTCTGTCAAACCACTGTTTACAGACATGATTCACTTCTCTGTGTGTAGGCTTGATACTCCACAGACCTTCACAATCAGACTATCAGGTCAAAGGAGTCTATAAACTTCTCTACGTGTAAGATTAGTACTTAATCCTTAAACACTCTCTTTGATGAGACCAAAGATATAAAAAAGAAAGAAAAACCTTTCTGGAAACACTCACTTTTCATGCTTAGAGACTAACCTGCATGATCTTCTCATTGATTCATATTGACAGAATTCTGAAAGAAAGAACATACCAGGTCTGGTGGCGAGGCAGAAAAATAGATTCTGACCTCTCAATACTACACCAATCATAGTGAAACCACCTTCTTTAGCTTTAAAAAATTGTCAGGTATCAAATGATATACACCTGATTTGCTATAAATCTGTCCTCGAAGTGCCACAACCATAACTCTTCAATCTGGATTTTATTTTTAAATCTTCTTCAAAAAGGCCATGTGAAATACTGATATCTTCACTACAAACCATGAAAAATATGTTTTGACTCTCAAAAAAGATCCTTCAACAGGCAGTGGGATCTTCTATTTTCAGGAGTTCTATTTGTACAGCCCATGACATAATCTGTATGGCACTGTTATTCAGAAGCCTATGTGTTGTCCTTGATCAGCCTGGTGAAAAGGAAAAAAATCATCCCTAGGGATTGATGATGCTTTGACACCAAGTTGAATCAATGTATCTGGGGTTTTCTGTTAGTGATAAAGAGAACATCAGTCAAATGAGAAAGAAGAGAGATCTTAGAGAACAACTCGATGAGGGCCATGCCATTAACACTTTGTTTTATTAAGCGAAGAATAAGATGAAATTTATATAGTGCCCTTAATTAGTTATAGTTCTAGTAGTAAACTTATACTAATTAGTGCAAATGGTCTGGCCGATGTATTAGCTAGATAAAGTGAAAAAAGGGATCAGTTATATTGGGGAAATATCCCCTGGGATTCTGATGATTGAATGTAAGAAAAAGGTGAGAACAATGAGCTAGGAAGCAGGGGTGGCCTAAACTTTTCTTTAGAGGTAGGGGGGTACTAGGAACAAACTATATTGTGCGTCATTCTTTTTCACAGCTTAATATAGTTTTAATCAGTTATTAATAAAATAACATTTTAATTGTTATAATAATTTTTATGTTCTTAACTTCTTTTTTAATAGATAATGGATTGCATTAGAAAAGAGGAGCAGATACAAATTTGATGCCAGGAAGTGGGTCTAGTAAGAAACACTCTATATGAATCATAATCCTGTTTTACAAAATCCCTGTCCTCTCTAGCCTTTGCCAAATTACTGGATATCATTTTTGCCTCCTTATAAAGACACATAACAATGCTATTTCAAGCAATAGTCACAAGAATATATCTTAGCAAAAGTTGTATTGGTGGGTTGAAGATAGCAAATAATGAGCTAGAGTCCCTTTCTTCTGTTTTCTGTATGAGAAATCTAAATGGACCTTAAAAGTCCTCGGTTCCCCTTTGGATGTAACCCTAGAGCCATTGAAAATAGGGGTGCATCTCGGCTTGGCCTCACTTGGCATTTTACACCGTTTTGGGCTTGGGCATTTTTTTTTGAAGATAAAAATGAAATTTCATTAAAAAAGAAAAAAAAAGATACATCCTGATAGGCGATAAGGCATCAACCTCATACAACCAGAAAAGCTAAACAGAGCAACATACTAAAAACCATCCAAGTTACAAATTTGATATTCCAAAATCTCCCCTAATCTGTCACTCAAATCTTCTTTAGATCGAGGAGAGTGGAATTTATGACTCTCTGTAGAAGTCTGTGTAAATTGGATGTGGGAAACCATCACCCTGTTCTTACCTACTTCAAACCCTTTCAACAAGCCTGTCTTCCGCCAGAAAAGTTAAATAGCTAAGAGCATCAGAAATGAGAATGTGTTTTCGTTTGGAAATGGTTTACATCTATATATATATATATACACAGAGAAATTATTTTTAGATTTCTCTTGATATTTTTAGGTGATTCCTTAAATAAGAAAACATCTAAGGTTTGATTCCTTCCGCTAATGTTTGTTGTTCAAATTCCAGACTGCATTATGTGTTTTTCCAATTAAAATAACTTGTTCTCTTTATTTATACTTTCAGACTAAAATGTTTCACAATTTGTTTAATAAGTCTATGGCTCTATGCTTTTATTAAATGGGTCTTCTATTCTGATTAAATTTACACATGGTCCTGAAGCTACCAATGTTATGAACTTACAGTCTTGTCTTTGTAAATGATATCATAGATTTATTTATTTTTTTGTATTTCTGAATCTCCTTGATTACTGGACATTATCTATTTTATGAAAAGGACTAGATGACTTGGCAGAAAACAGATTTGTTTTGCATTATATCTATGCACACATGACACCTGCATTACTGTCTGAAAGTTTTTCAGTTTTGACACTGTTGTCCTTATTTGATATTTTTTTGGGTGGATAATTTTATTGTTTGGTATTATCTATTGTGATTTCATTGTAAGCAGTTATATTTTTCCACTTAAGGCATAACTTGAAAACTGAATAAACTTTGGTCATTTGGCAGAGAGCTATTTGTTGGCATTGGGTGAAAATGACAGGAAAAAGGAGCTGTTGCAGCTTTTAGAAGTTGTGGACATAACAAAAATTTCATCATTGAACTGTGTTGCTAGTGTCTTTAAGTCTTTGGGAAGGCTTTTACTTCATAACCATATGGAGAAGTTAATTTTGGCATTTAAAAACTCAGGTATGTTCATGATAGATTTTGTCATCATACTAGAACTAGATCTAACGAGGCATTGGAAGGTCATTCAAATGAACCTAAAAGTTTGATGAGCCACAAGTTCTTGTGTTTTGTGATTTTGAAATAAACAAAATCAAGTTCTTTGGAGGCAAAGTATCCGGAATATGGAAAAACCTTCTTGTAATTATTACCATGCACTGTCTCAAGGAAAGAAAGATTTAGTAAAATATAATATTAGATGAAAGAGCACATATATGCCTTGGCTTTTGGAAAATCATTAGGTCTAAAAAGAAGTTTTTTTTTTTTTTTTTTTTTTGTTTTTTTAAAGCAACATGTTCTTTTATATCAATAAAAAATTATTGGGGAGAGGGATAGTCTCAAATGTGTGAAGAAAGGAGTTAAGGAGGTGGTTGAGAGTATTCGACGCGGTAACAGAGGGCTTATTGATAAAACCTTCATGGGAGGCAATCCCATAGGGAGGAATCAAGAGATTCATATGGCTATCTAGCAATATGATTGTTGCGAAATATAGAGGGAGAAAAGAAGATTTTCTTTGTTGATAATGAAAACATATTGAGCATACAACTTAAATAAGAAAAGATAGGAAAGACAAACCCCTAGAATCTCTCTCAATCAGGGATTGACTAAATCTTTCCCTTAATCCTAGGATATGACTTTCCTAAATTTATTCAAATCTAATCTTTACTAAATTTATTCAAATCTCTTAATCAATCAAATCATATCTTTCTTAATTTGCCGCAAATCCTATCTTTCTTAATTTGCCGACAATGATTGTAGGGATCCAATGGGAAAGAAGATCAGTCAATGGGATGGTGAATTCTCTAGCTAAGAAAGGGGTGAATAGGGATCATTTTTATTGTGCTAAGTTGCAATTTTCTGTGTGTGAGAGGGTGCACCTTGTGCCTCTGTTTGGGATGCATGACATTCTTGTATTCTCTTGTTAATTGATATTTTATTAATATAATTTCACAGCTATCTATTGACGTTGGAGATTCGTTGAAGGCAGAAATAATGTCATTAATGGAGGGAGTTTACAGAGCAAAGGAGCTTAATGTGCATAAGCTGATTATTGAAGGAGACTTACAATTGGCGATAAAATGGCTGAGGAATGGAGAGAATACCTTTTGAGTGTACAAAAAATGAATTAAAGAAGTTAAAATGGGTGAAAGGGACATGGATGTAAAAGTTCAGGGGGTGCAAGGGATATCTAACTTCCTCGGCAAAACAAAGGGTAGGGAGAGATCAAATGTTTGTGCTCAGCTGTAAATTTTGTGGTATTTGGAGATAAAATAGCTTATCTCCAATGCTAATTGTACAATTAATTTTGATTTAATCCTAACGAAAGTTATATTTATTGATAAAAAAGCACAATTATTGAAAGAAAGGTGAATGAAAACTGACCAGGAACAAAAAAGGGAAGAATAAGTACTAAAACAACCTAAGAGTTCAAATGTCGCCAAAAACAACTTTAGATCTGATCATTGGTGTTCTGACTGGATAAAGTACTTTAAAAATGAAACACAAGAGTAGGAACTGATTGAATTGTGACATCAAATTCTCTTAGAAGACTTCTTCCATTTTTTTTTTCTAATTCTTAATGCATATTATTTAATTACAGAAAAATGTCCATGCTCTGTAAATGATGATGTGGTTACTTTGGTAGTGCAGAAGTTGGAGCAGAAAATGTCTCACTGTTCATCTGTTACTATGCTACTAGCATACCAAATTTAGTGGTGAGCAACTTCTCATGAAAATGTTGGTAATGCCCTCAAGGCTACTGCTGTGGGTTTAAAGCATTATGTCCAACTTAGATATGTTTGGTTTACTTGGTAATAGACCTTTCTCGTTTTATTTTCTTTCTTTTTATTTGGCACCTGCAATTAATCAAAACTGAATCAATTAATAGCATCTACTGCTCAAGTTACCATTTCACCTTCTAAATATACATTTGAATTGTCAACAACTGAAAACAAAAGATGATGCGGTGCATGATGATTATTTTTTGATTGGCAGTTGTACATGATCATCATCAGTTTTAGCCTTTTCATAGGATCTTGCTTGGACATACCTAAACTTCAATCATGTCTATAGCAATATCTAATACTTGGTATAGCTAATATGGTTGAATTAACGACTGAATTTCAGTGATTTACTCAAATTACCAGAAAAGGTACCAACATATGGAGAATATACCTTTTAAGGCGATAGTGAACCTGATTTTGACTTGGACGAGTCTTTATTTGAGAGAAAATTTGGTAATATGTCTTTTATAGTGATAGGAAACCAGATTTTGACAGTCTCAGTAAATGGAAACATTTCTGTCTTCTTGAACTTGTGAGGCAGTAGCAGTCAATGTTAACTTGCAAAATCTTGGAAGGTCATTTCGTTATTACAATGCACATTTCACCTGATGAAAGATTACCTCATTGAGATCATTTCAACTAACCTTTCTTGTCCTTAATTCTCTTTGTTCTAACTCCATTAACGTGTAGCCACCTTCATATCAGCTTTGCTTGTTTTTCATGCCCCATTTGTACCAACTACTTCCTGCCAACAGGCTAAAATTGATGTAAGCATTGGTATTCAGAGCCTCTCTCTTCCTGCTCTAGTCCTCCTCTCCTTCAATTCATCTCTCTTGAAAATGTTGTCAAAATCTTACCATTTACGATTTGAATCATGAATCCCAAGGCTTTTGATTCGAATCTTATGTCTGAATCCTTTTTTTTTACAAAAATTCTCTACTTTGTTTTTCTTTGTTTATGTTTACTTTTGCCATGGGAGACTTTTTTTAAAGCCCTTACTAGAAAATGATTTATTTACATTATTCAAGACTAGAAATTGAGTTTATTTTCTATCATATGTAAGTTCAAGGGCCATTGTATGTAGGTTTGATTGATTTTCAAGTCAAACTTGATTATATCATCTTAGGTTTCTATTGTGTAAGTGGTAAATTCTATTGTTTTAGGTACATATATGGTAGATATAGATTAAAAATAGGGTAAAGTCAATTTCCTATATATATTTAGCCTTTTAAATTTTTAGTATATCTATATTTAATTTTTTGACAAGTTTGAAAAAATAGAAATAATCTTACGGTTTATGATATGATTCATGATTCAATTTGATTCAACTTTCTCTGCGATTTACAATACGATTACGATTTTCAAAACATTGTCTTGATCTTTCAATTTCTCTTCAATTTTGTTTTTTATGCTATTGACCTGAACTTTAAGAGATTCTAATGCAGTTTCAAAGTGGCTGCTATCATTGCTTCTATGTTTGAAACTGAACTGTTTTTCTCTGTTTTTTTGATAAATAACTGAATGAATTTCATTAAAAGTAAACACCAAACTACTCACCAATGTGAGTAGCAGGCCAGAGAGTACAAGATATTTCTCCACAAATGGAGCTTTGAAACAGTACAGAAGAAAACAAACTTTTACAGAAGAGGTGACCTAATTATTACTAAAAGCTCTGAGAATTGGAACAGTACAAGATATTTCTCCTAAAAGCTCATAGAGTTGGGAGGTTTATCATGGAAAGATTAACATGCGACTCGCTACAGAAGAGAAGACCTAATTATTGCTTATCCCTATTGGAGTTGGCAGTCAGGGATATTTTAGTCATCGTAGGCTGGTTTATTAAAAGGTGTTTTGTCTATTTTGTTTCAGTTTAGTAGTTTGCCCCATACTTAATTAGGGGCATAACTGTCTTTGTATAACTTTCACAAACCTATAAATAAATCTGGTCGGCTGAGAGGTGCGTGATTTTCTCTCTCAAGCTTAGATCTTTCTTTCATTTGCTCTCCTACTTTTCTCCTCTTTCTCTACTTCTTTCTCTCTTTTTCCTTTTATTTTTATTCAAACCTAGGGCTGAAACCAGTGTAACCATACTGTTAACATTGTATGTGAGCACCAGTAATCAACCCAGAATTCTTCCATCGCTTTTTAGCCCCTTGTTTTGAAGAGAATTCATCATTCGGTTGGCAAACCCAAGTAAGTAAAGGGGAGCTCACCAATTCTGCATTCAAAAGCATTGTCACAATCCAGCAGAACTTCTTTATCAATATTTCCAACTCCAGTCAGCACTCTTTGAAAGGTTAACTTTCAGAGCTGAAATCCAGAAAAATCAAAGTATCATCTTTGCTTGTTGCTAGTGCGAAAGACATAGTGCGTTAGTGCATCCAGCTTTCTTGCTGCGCATCGATATAATTATCAAGGGTTACTTCTTTCTTCACTCCTCTGCTTGCTTAGTAGTGATCTTTCCTTTTCCAGAGTAGTCATTGAAAGAGAGAGAGGGGAATGCGACTCAGGAAAGTGAAATGTGATGCATCATACAGATTGGCCAAGAGAGGCTGGAAAAAGACGGGCGATCTAACCAACGTAGGGAAGCACTAGGCAGCAGGCGTCTGTTATTTTGATGAAATGAAGTTGCAGTCCTTCGTCCCCACACTATCTATCAGACCGAGACTTCGAAAAAGAACTATTTTCTCATTATTGTTGATTGATGTTTCATTCCTTCCTCRAAGTGAGGCCTCTTTTAGACCTACCTGATATGATTTATATCTTCTTACGTAACGCGTGTTGTGGGCGGTACTGTCCTATTGACGGTCTTGGTAGTCAGCGATGCAAATGATCTGGTGAGTAAAAATAGAATATTGTGTAATGCTTCTGCCAGTGGACAAAAAGATAGATGAGATATACAAGGACCATCCCTTCCCACTTTAAAACCCTCAATTAACCCCATTTGCCCACTTCTCATTAAGAGAAGGTTCAGCATCTCCATAACCAAGACAAAAATCATAGGAGATATTGGATCTCCTTGTCTCAACCCCCTGGATGCTTGAAAGAACTCTGAGGATATGCCATTTAGCAGAATAGAGAAGGAGACAGTAGACATACATGCATACATCCAAGATCTCCATTTTTCACCGAAGCCCATCAACCTTTGAATTTCTTCTACAAAACCCCACTCCACATGATCGTAGGCTTTCTCTATATCAATCTTACATACCAGACCTGGTTTACCACTCCTTGATCTGGAATCAATACATTCACTTGCCACTAAGACTCCATCCAAAATCTGCCTCCCTTCCACAAACACCATTTGGGATTCCCCGACAACCTCATGCTGAACTTTCCTCAATCTTTTTGTTACAACTTTAGCCATATGGGCTACTAATCAAAGAGATGAAAGGAGCATTCACCGCTCCCTCCTTTTTTGGAATCAAAGAGATGAAAGTAGCATTCACCGTCTTCTCCAAGATTCTCTCTCTATGAAATTCCTTAAACAAAAAATCAAAATCTCTTTCCATCACACTCCAGCTTGCCTTGATAAAAGCAAAGTTAAATCCATATGGACCTGGGGCTTCATCTCCATTCAAATCTCTTAAGGCTTCTTTGATCTCCTCCATCCCAAATTCATTTTCAATCCACAATGCAGAAGCATTGCTCAACTTCTTAGGAATCATCTCCCCTAGGGACACCAAGCTCCAAACTCTAGAGGTGCATAACCTCTTGTAATAACCAACCACCTTATCCTGAATTTCACTCCAGTTTTCTACCATCTCCCCCCCACCTGAATTCTTGAAATAAAATTTCTCCTTCTTGCACTAGCAAGGATTGAAAAAAGGCTGTATTTTTGTCGCATGCTTTTAACCAAGATAATCTGGACTTTTGTCTCCAGCTCCCCTTTCTACCAAAAAAAAAAGTCTCCAGCTCTCCTTTGAATCAGTAACTGTTTTTTTAAATGGTAAGAGATTAAGTATTGCTCAACTCAACTCAACTAAGCCTTGTTCCAACTCTTTGGGGTTGGCTACGTGAATCTCGTTCCACCATTTCACTTTATAAAAGATCTGTAGAGAAGATGGGCCGAATGGCCCATAGGCTGTTTATCCTTTCTTACTGTTTATGTTCCTTTCTGTAATGGGCCTTATTCTGGGCCCATCCTTTCTATGTTATGTTCTTTGTAATTTCTTGCCCAACTAAGGGCCTCCTTGTAATTATTCAAATTTAACTTAATAAAATAGTGTTAGGGTGTTAGAGAGAGAGTAAGGGTTCGAAACTCTCATACTCTAAACCCTTATTGCCACCATCTCCTTCTTCACCTTCTACTCCATAGAAGAAGTATTTTTTGCTGTTCTTTTCGATTTCTTTTGATTTCTGCATCTCTTCTAAACAGTCCCACACTCTCAAGGACTGTTTTTCTTCTTGGTATCAGAGCAGGCCTGAACTTGGCTTGGGCTCTCATGTGGGTGTAGTCCAGCCGACTACATGAGAGTGTTCTAGGGCTGGAAGCTTCAGCTTGTGTTGCCTGATTCTTGGAGGTCATTGGAGGGTGCCCAAGACTCAAATCTCTTGGGGAGTGGTTCGGTGACCAGGAAGAATCAGAGAAAAAGAACAGTTCGGTTTCTGATTTGGAGCTTAAGTCAGAGATTGTAAGTTGTGCTCAGTTATTTCTGGGTTATTTTTCTGTTTTTGGACTGTTGAAGTGTACGAAGTTTCTGTGAAAACTGTACAACTATTCGGCTGTTTTTAATCTGGTTTAACCCAGAGATTTCTGGGTTGTTTTCATTCCTTTTCTGGACTGTCAAACTGCCGAAACATCTTTGGATTCAGTGCTGCGTGTTGTTGCTTCTATTTGGTTGTTTTTTTGGGCCCTGTACGGACTATTCCTGAGGTGTTTCTCACCTTTGACAGTGGGGTTTTCTTTGCTGCCCACACTATGTTTGTAA